GTGACTAATGAGGAACGTCGTCAAGGCAAACACAAATGCTGACAAACTAGAGAATTTTTTCCCGAGAGGAGTCAAGACTGCTCTCCCCTTACCGAGGCCTTGTTCGAATTTTACGACAAGTGAGCGGGTGGGTTAAATTTAAACCAAACTTTTCTTAGGGATGAGGTAAGCTGCCAGGTGAGCAAAAGTAGGTCGACGTGTGCAGGGGATAGTCCCGTCTTTGTTATACAGGTTTGTAGGATAAGTCGGCGTTTAGTCATCAAGGATAAGTCGGTGTTTAGTCATCAAGGATAAGTCGGCATTTAGTCATCAAGGATAAGTCAGCATTCAGTCATCAAGGATATGTCGGCATTTAGTCATTAAGGATAAGTCTGCATTTAGTCATCAAGGATAAGTCTGCATTTAGTCATTAAGGATAGGTAGGCATTTAGTCATCAAGGATAGGTAGGCATTTAGTCATCAAGGATAAGTTAGCATTGGTTGGCATTCGATCAGTTGTAGGACAAAGCGAATTTGTAAAGTCATTAGTAAATTTTTTTTAAGGATAAGTCATTGGGATAAGTCAAGTTTTAAGGCTAACCCAGCACAACCTGATTGGATGGATAAATCACCTTCCTAGTCTTAAATCACCTAATTAGTCGCTTAAATGAAAATTCAGTACATGTTATAGAAATTTGATTGGTATTACAATAAAATTACGGAGTTGCAAGTTATAGACATTTGATTGGTACTATCATAAAATTACATAATTACCAGTTATAGACATTTAATTAGTTTTATCATAAAATTACGTTGTTACCAAAAATGATTTCAAGTCACCATTGAATGACTATTAAATAAAGGCAGTAAACTTTTCAATGTCACTTGTCAGCCATCTTATGTCAGCCTAAAGTGTCAGTCGGCCTAATGTGTCATATAATGAGACATAATGTGTTATATAATGTGTCATTCGGCCTAATGTGTGAACCTAATGTGTCAGCCTGCCTAATATCCAATGTTAAAATGTGTTCAAGACTTTGAATTGACAGATATATGCGTATGGTCTCATGTATTTAAACGATAGTAATTTTAAACACAAGTGGCTCCAAGTGAACAACAAAAAACATGAGGAACACATACTACTGGTGGGTCTTTAAACAGTTTAAAAAGTATCACGACAACAAGCAATGGAAAAACAATACTCGAATATTTCCGGAACAATTTTCTAGCAGAGTCAAAAAAAAAAAAAAAATTGGAAGAAACCAGAAAAACATGCCCCCCCCCCCCCCCCCCCCCGTTAACATTATTTCCAGAACTCAAACATTAACCGACATTTTGTTTTGCTGGAGCTTCAGTCCGTGTCACGTCATAGCCCGTGTCCCAGTGTCGACAGTTGGGGAAAGGTGAACTCACGCGCTCACAGCTGGGAGCAGGATGGTACTCACGACCAAGGTGAACTGGCAGGTAAGTTCCAGCCCCGAGCACCGGAAACCTGACACGCCGACGTCTTGGATTCGTTCAACAAAGGTGAGCCTCACACACAGGTACATGGTCTGGCAGCAGGGGTACTCACAGGTAACGGTTGCACGTGCGTCAACGATAACTTTCATACGAGTCACAGTTCAGCCGTAAACAGGTCACGTATAAACCTCAGAGGTGTCACGTTTAACACGGTTAACTTTCATACGAGTCACAGTTCAGCCGTAAACAGGTCACGTATAAACCTCAGAGGTGTCACGTTTAACACGGTTAACTTTCATACGAGTCACAGTTCAGCCGTAAACAGGTCACGTATAAACCTCAGAGGTGTCACGTTTAACACGGTTAACTTTCATACGAGTCACAGTTCAGCCGTAAACAGGTCACGTATAAACCTCAGAGGTGTCACGTTTAACACGGTTAACTTTCATACGAGTCACAGTTCAGTCGTAAACAGGTCACGTATAAACCTATGAGGTGTCACGTTTAACACGGTTAACTTTCATATGAGTCACAGTTCTGTAGTTAACAGGTCACGTTCAACACTAATTGGTGTCACGTAACACGTTTAGCTTTCATGCGAGTCTAAGTTAAGTCGTATATGGGTCACGTTTAGCACTCATATGTGTCACGGTTAACTATCATAGGTGTCACGTTTAACACGGTTAACCTTCATACGAGTCGCAGTTCAGCCGTATATGGGTCACGGTTAACTATCATAGGTGTCATAGTTAACATTTACTGCAGCTACGGTTTTTATAGGTGTCACAGTTCATTCATAGACGCGGCGCCTAACTTTATTACGAGAATCACAGCCAACAGCATCATAAGAATATAAGTTTACAATATAATTAGAGAACATTTACTGTAAGAATTTAGATGTTTACAGTATCGTCAGCGCTAAATGAATGTTTCTGTTTATAAAACCCAATTATGATACCAATACATGTCTTTTTCTCCAGGATAGGTTACGAGTAAAATGGCTGACTAAGGGAACAATGACTGAATTTATGAAGATAGTGACGAACATCATTAGAAGAACTACATAATGTATGAGTATGAGTAAAAAAAAACGGAATGGATAAACAATATTTTCAAACAAGCAACTGAGTAAATGAGGGGGGAAAAACATTTTAAGATCCGCTGTTAATCTGGTTAGGGTCTAGGTGGTCTAAAAGTTCATCATTAGTTCTTTGATCATGTTAAACCAGGTGGGTGGGTGGGGTAGCGGTGGGATGAGTGGGGGAATGAATTAGCCAGGGGCGTACCGTGAGTTTGTGATGGGGTAGCGGTGTACAGGGAGGTTGGGGGCTGAATTAGCCAGGGGCGTACCGTGAGTTTGTGATGGGGTAGTTGTGTACGGGTGGGGTGGGGCTGAATTAGCCAGGGGGCGTAAGTTTATGTTAGCACACGAGGCGACAAGCTGAAGAATGTCTCTCTACCTGAGAGGCCCCTCCTGGGGGTGACGGGAGAGAAGGAGCTGATGGAGGAAGAGGAGAAGGGGGAGGTGGAGTGGGGATACAAGGTCAGCTCCATCTGGTGAGGAAGGTGGCGGTGGTGACCCCTGTAGTGGTGACTCCTTTGATGATGACGTGGGTAGTGGTGATCTTGGTAGTGGTGGCCTTGATAGTGGTGACTTAGGTAAAGTGGGGGTAGACTTGCAGTCGAGAAGCAAGGAGATCCTGATCAGAAGACGCGACAACCATGTCAGTAAGTGAAGGCTACAAGATGTGTCAATGACAACTCCTCCTAATGTCAATGACACACTCCCCTCCTCATAATGACAATAACATATTCCCCTCCCACTATTGTCAATGATACACTCACGTCCCCCTAATGTCAATAACAAACTCCCCTCCCCTAATGTCAAAGAAACACTCCTCTCCCCCTAATGTCAAAGAAACACTCCTCTCCCCCTAATGTCAATGACATACTCAATTCCTAATGTCAATAGCACCCTCTCCTCTTAATGTCAACAACAAACTCCCCTACACTGTAATGTCAATGACACACTCCCCTCCCCTAATGTCAGTGACACACTCATCTCCCCCTGATGTCAATGACACACTCCCCTCCCTCTAATGTCAATGACACACTCCCCTCCCCGTGGTGTCAGGGACAGACACTCCAGCAATACACTACCTACTGCCAGAGTGCCAAGTTTTCATCTTTAAACACTGAGACCTATTAATGAAATGGTACATTGAGAATAAAATGGCCGCTGGTTTCTGTGACCTGCATATTTTGACCTCCGCTGAACCGGATATAATCATCAACGATATCACGGCTTCATTTTTTTTCTTAGACACCACTTTTGGCCAGCAGACGTGCTCATCCCACCAGCAGACCCCACGTCATTCAATGTCCGGTTTTATAAACATCCACCCCTCCACCCCCACCTCCATAACGTCTATACAAATGTTCTTTGTTACGTCAGGATCCAGCCTCAATGCAAGCGCTTCAATATTTCATACCGCAGTTTTTAAAACCACTTTTATCTACAGCACTTTGGCACAATAAAAATCTTCTAAAAATAGAAGTCTGCTCAAGTTTCTCCAACGTTATACCAAGTAGACAAAAAAAAAACTCATCCAAAAATAAACTTTAGCCCCGAAAACGCAGAAACAAAAAATTCGCTCTCAGAAAAATTCGTTTTTTTTTCTTGGCGTGAAAGAGGAGTTCCCCCCCCCCCCCCTCGTAAGCCCGTCAGAATGTAATTATACAGATTGCATTTAATGGATATATTTAACATAGAAATCACAATATACTTAACTACTTAAAGCTAAAAACGTTCATGAAATGAAATCAGTTTCATTAAGTAATTAAATCATACGTAGTTCAGTGTTATTTGTGTCAATGACAAAAAAGTGGGTGGTAATTTTTTTACATATTGCACAATATACGCATGAAACATCAAACTAAAAAAGAGCAAAAAACATAGTTAAAATAAATATTTACAACGAAAAGTAAATATAAGCAAAAGAAAAAAAGATGTACAATAATTATTTCCTTCAACAATTGCAGAGTAAATTTGTCTTGCTCCAACAATTATAAGTGAGAAATTTTAAACATATGGGTCAATTAACTTATCCACTACACATTTTGTTATACATTTTTACAGCTATAATGGTGTTATAGTGAAAGGTACAATTCCTACTATTACCTAATATTAGTTAAATCATTTAAATTAAAATTCTACAACTGTAGCAATGTTACGATAAAATGTTTTAAAATAAGTCAAATTATTACTAAATGTTAATTCTGAAATTTTAAAATATATAATGGTGTTAGGGCAAAAATTATTAAATAAATTCCTTTTACCATTAATTAAGCTCCTTTAATTTATATTTTTTACAACCTACACTGTGTTAGGGTACAAGTTTTAAACTAAATTCCAATAGGGCTGGTAAGTAGGTCACCAACCAGTTCTATGACTCATGCAGAACTGGTTGGTGACCTACTTACCAGGCCTATTATTGGTGACCGATGCGGATGTTATTGGTGAGGGGTGTTGTGGGTGATTTAAAAACAAATACAACTACCTCTGGTGGGGTCTGAGCTGAACGAGTGACCGGAGCTAGACTGACTACCATGATGGGATGATGGGGACGGGTAGCTGTTGAAGATGGTGTGGGTGTTGTTGTTGTTGTCGTGGCCTGCAGGGGGGGACCATGCAGCCATGCCGCTACTACCTGTCCAGTGGCCGTTCATGTTCGCCCCGGGCAGGGAGTCTGAAAGCACATTGGAAGCAAGCAACACCGCTACGGTTAACAACACAAGCACAGGGAACTGATGGGGAGATAAACAATACATGAAAAGTCATATAACTACACAGGATTTTTTTCCGTTATGAGGTCATACCAATAACACTTGGGAATTTCATGACGGAAAAATACCCATCTATACATGCAACTTTAGCTTGCTAGTGACTTAAATCTCCTGCCTTCTTTATATATATATATATATATATATATATATATATATATATATATATATATATATATATATATATATATATAATGTTTAGTCAGTTAAAAATTTGAAAATGGTAAAATATGTTGAAAATCGAGTATTTGTCACAATTTGTGTATCATCTTAGCTTCTTCCCTTTTTTAAATCATTTAGAAAAACTAAGGGAAACAACCTTCGAATGGGTTCATACCAGGCGTTAAAATACAGGGAAATTAGACAATATAAAATTAAAACATGTAGCCCTGTCGTATTTTTGTAAATTAAAAATTACCATAAAAAATCCTTATATGATTGTGTCAAATCTTTACACTTTAAAACTATAATGAATAATTATTTGAGTCTAGTTTAAATAGAAAACTATTAACGAGGTGTACGATCTAATTTGTAGAGATTTGAAACTTGAGCAGAGTCAATGCTCACCTGCAACGTTTGATGTCAATAGGTTAAACCGATTTGATTGACCCCAAATGTCTTTGCTGACCCAATTAGCGTAATGAGATATGACGATATGATAGTGACTGATTGAGGCTGGTTGGAGCTCGGGGTGATGTTGGGTGTCTGGAGGTGCATTGTGTGTGGGGGGCGGAGAGGGGTTGTGGTAGGGAGGGACACAAGAGTGATTTAACAGCTGTGAGATGTGGGGAGTAGGGAGTAGTATATTAGGTCGCTTTTGGAGCGTATTCCTGGCGGAGGTGGGGAGGGTGAGGAACAATGACATATAGTAAAATACTCGGGAGCAGGATGCGCGGGATGCGCAATGACATATAGCAAAATACTCCCAGCCTGGCGCATCGGGAGGGTAAGGGTGGGTGAGCAGGATGCGCAGGATGCGCAAAGACATATAGTAAAATACTACGCCAACTGGGGTTGGCGGAGGTGGTGGGGAAGTAGGTCACCTTTTGGTGACCTTGTGACGTAATCATTGACCTTGTGACGTCATCATTGACCTTGTGACGTAATTAGTGACTTTGTGATGTAATCATTGACCTAGTTACGTAATGTTAATGCGTTTTAATGAGTTTTAATGAGTTTTTTAAATTTTAATTAATTTTTTATTGACTAGTTACGTAATTTGATTATTTGTTTACTTTTTTAATTGTTTAATTTGTTGTTTACTTGTTGTTTAATTTAATTACTTTGTTTATATTGTATAATTTTTATTAACGAGTTACGTAATTTGATTATTTGTTTACTTTTTAATTAATTTTTTATTGAGTAGTTACGTAATTGGATTTTAATTTTTTTTTTGAATTTTTAAATTTTTAATTTTATTTTATAATTAGTTAAATTATTATTAACTAGTTACGTAATTTGATTTTAATTACTTTGTTTATTCGTTTATTTAATATATTTCTTTTCTTTGTTGTTTAATTTGTTGGTTTGTTTATTTGCTTGTATGTATGTTTTAAATAAAAGACTAACACTAACGTGGACTTTGTATAGGGACCATTCAGCAACACAATGAACGTTACAAAAATAGAACATCCATTTAACCACATCTGTTACTTATCGATCCGCAATCCTTTGTTGACACACGCCGCGTAGTGATTAATGGATATTATATCGATCGCACCCACGGGACCATCACACCTAATTAAATTGGTTATGCTTCACCGCTTTTATGCGTTGTTCGCCGACCCGATCCCACCGGGGGGGTATGGTAATTAACGCAAAGCCAGCGTTAAGTGTGGGAACATCTGTTACCATGACACGCGCATCGTAGTGATTAATGGGTATTATATTGATCCAACCCACGGGACATCACAGCATGATGTCCCGCCTAATTACATTTATTATTATGCATCAGTGATTTTTCCCCGCTCGGTTTGATAGGTCATGATGATTAATGGCTTTTTTCCCTGCTCGGTTGACGGGTTATGGTAATTAACAACGTACATTAAGTAGCTTTCCGCGAAGCACTTAGGTCATTATGCAACAGCTGTATAGGTGTAGAGTTTATACAAGAGTCGGTGAACTTTTCACCGAGGCAGATTTCGGGGGTAGAGCTTATACTAGGGTCGGTGACATTTGGGTTTCAAAGACAGGTTTCAAAGTTGTCACATGGATGTTTCGGAATTTGAAGTGTTAAACGTAATATAATACGATCGTTAATATATTGACGATTCGCTGACGCCGAAAAGGGTTGTAATATAACTTTTAAATTTACACCGCGCGTTTAATCGAAAGAGCTAAGTAGTTATCCGCAAAGCTACCGTTAAGTGTGGCGACAGATGTTACCAAGCGGGTGGTGGTGGTGGTGGTGGTGGTGGTGGTGGTAAATTTGCTTAAGATTATAAACTTCAAGTTTTAAAAATCAACAACGTTATAGTACGTCGTGTCAAATGACACACAGTTTAAAATGTCTACATTTAAATTTCACCAAAATAATGATGTATAAACTAAATATGATATGACGTTAGCATACATATCATTCAATCTAATCATTCTAAAGTACAAATCAATAATTTTTTTTTTTTTTTTTTTTATTGATTAAGGGGTCGTGTTCATACTAGGGTTGGTGAAGTTTTCACCGAGGTAGATTTCAAAGTTGGATGTGGATGTTTTTATTTGTATATGGAAAGATTTAAAAGTTTGGATGGGAACATTGTCACTTTTGAGAGTAAATGTCAATGTGTTTAGGAAGGGGATATTCATTGGGGAGTGGTGTCTACAAGTTATGTATCCCAGTCTGTTGGAGTGGTTTCTAGGGGGTTGTGACATTAATTGAATAAATACTTGTCTGTAAGATTGTCCTACATCCTTTGTCTGTCCAAGGAATAGTGTGGGTAGTGGTACGATCTGTTTATCTATCGGTTGGTATTGAGCTTAGGGATGGGAGAAGGGGGAAGGGGTTGCTGACAAAGGGAAGGGGAAGGGCGAATTGTGATAATGGTTGGGGCACCGATCAGAGCGGTAAAGGGATATTTCCAAGTCGGATCCAGTATTTTAAATGGTTCATTTTGATTCCAGTCATACATCTTATACAGGATACCGAGTTACCTAACTTTCAGGGACAAGTAACAAAACAATAACTCACATCAAAAATTAAAAAAAGACCGTTTATATCATAAGTTTTTATTGAATAAAAACAACCCCATCAGCATACCGTCATGGTTCTGTCTTATTTACATATTTACAGTAAAGTGTCGTTAAAGTCACGGTTGGTAAACTAAAAGGACTTATATGTCTAGGGGAGATGTTGTCACATTGTCTGCGTCTACTCGTCTTTTAATGTAAAAGTAAGAAAGTGAGTTTCTGTGTTGGGTGTAAGTATATATCCCCGTGTTGTATGCTCTGAACCCTGTGTTTGTCCCACCACTTGGTTCCTTTGTTGTGAGGACCTGCATGAAAGATTCTTTGCCTAGTGTGTTGTGATTTTTAGATAATCCTTTGGTTGATGTTTTATTATAGTCGCCAAAACAGTGGTACGTCTTGCTACATAAAGATACCATCCCATCCCCTTCATATTCTAGCTTAAACAACCCCGGTGTTCTCTTTTCATAAATTTTCCTAGCCCTACACTCTAGACAATGACTATCTACCGTGCCTTTGCCGCTTATAAATTGTGGTCTATGTGAGTCGCATACTTCTGAGGGGAACCATTTGTCGTAAATGTCAAAAAACTCGTGTTCTAGTCCCGGTCTAACGGCTTTTAACAAGTCATCGGTACTTAAGGCTAAGTATAAACTGTCAGTGTCCATCTCACATAGCTGAAAGTCTGTTCTATCTATATACCTGTCTATAAAATCATAATAAAATTCTAACATCCTAAGTTTCGCATACTGATAAACGAAAAAGCCTATCTGAAGAGGGAGATCCCAAACTATCTTCTTTTTTAACGTTTCTACTTCGTAAACATCGTCGGTAAGTTTTGTCATTTTTTTAAATCGCGGATTATTAATACAATCCCCTATATCCCTAGCACTACAGTAGGTCATGTCCGCATGTCGTGTTTTATCTGTCAAAGTTTTACCATACGCCGCGTTGCCTAACAATTTCATTGTTTCACTCGTTATCGCGTATTTGTCGTCTATGTCCCCCTTTCTTCGCGCGTCTGAAACTGTATCCCCAAATGTCTTAAAACATGCAACCGGATTATATTCAACGACTTGATAAATTTTACTGACTACCAACCCATGATTTAAATACCACTTTAAAAGGGGGGTCGCTAATAAAATTTTCTCCCCTGTAAAGCTACCGATTAAAGTCCGTCTACCGCTAGTTAATAAGTTGTTATCGATCGCGTATTGTCTCATAAACGGTCCGATGTCATCGCGCGTAACGTCCGTATTTTTAAAAATTGGTGTCATCTCACTAAAATGTTCTCTTAAACTATCCGGTACTTTAATGTCGCATTCTATCAGTCCAAAACACGAGTCGTCTAAAACAGAATCGATGATCTGTTTTTCAGTCAGGGGCCATTTCTTACCATAGGTCGGTGTCGGTGTCTTTTGTGATTTGTCAATAGATTTTAAATAGTCTTTAATAGTTGGGTTCATTTTTTTCTGGTTCCCCCACTCACATTCCCACATTTCTACGACTTTAACGTCAACAGTCTCGGTAAGGTACTTCGTAATTTCGTTTGTCTTTTTAAATAAATCAGTCAAGGGTCTGTTACTAATGGGGTTTACTGTTCTGTCTTTAGTTAAAGGGCAGTCAGGGTGTCCGTGAAAGAGGCAGCCATGGAACTGATAAACGGTTCGAGTGTTCGCGTCCCACCCGTCTACTCTTATATGGCGGGATCCTAAGCTAACTTCGC